GCCTACTCTCTGGGAGAAAACTCATGTAAGACAGCAGTTTGTCCCCGAACTGCCCAGAACCCAGGGCTCCTGGCCTCAGTTTTGTCGTCAGGCTTCCTAAAGTTTGGGTGCATGAAGCACACATCCTTGATCTCTGGCATTTCTCTTCCAGCTACGAGAAGTTCAAGCGCAGAAGAGGGTGTGCTTCCTGCAGGTACCATGTTTGATGGGAGCAGGTTCTAGGTCCCACTGGCCGGAGTGCAGAAGCCGGCTCGGCCCCACAGAGGCCACGGCTGTGTGGTGGTCACTTCACTTTTCTCCATTTTCATGTAAAGTTCTCCGCTAGATAGCAAAGAAAACCTGACTCCAGGGCTACTTTGAGGAATTAGGATCGCTCTTCTTAAAAGAGATGCGCTAGGCAGAGCGAGGCTGAACTTTACACTGCAGAAGCAAAGTCCATGCAGAGGGGGTTGTGTTGGCAGAACTGGGAGGATCTCTCCTGGGGCCTGCGTCTGCTTTCAGGCACTTCAATCCGCTGAGCTATGTGGCCAGCACTAACGTCAGGTTTTCTTAGTCATGGGTATATAATGTTTATCTAGAATATTACAGTTTTGAAGTAAAAATAAAACAAGAACACTAATGATTTAAATGAAAAAATTTCATCAGGACTAAAAAGGGCATGAAACTATCTAAATTACCTAAGCTGCTGAAGGTCCTAAACTTCTAGGACAGAAACATTCGCGAGCCTCCCAGACAGGTCTCTTGCTATCGTGGGCAGATTCGCTGTGCGCAATCCCTAGCCTCATGCCGCCTTGCGCGTGCAGCCGTGTGGCAAAGGGGGATGAGGCTGCAAGGCAGAATGAAGGTTGGCCCTGGCGACGCGGACTCTGGAAGGGCCAGAAAACAGACCAAGGAAACGTATCCTCCCAGGGCTTCCTGGGGAAGGCGAAGGCCTGCCACCGTCTTCGTTTCAGTCCGGTGAGACCTGTGTAAGATTTCTGACTTCCGTGAATGTGCTGCAGTCCCCAGTGGTGAAAACTTAGCTCCGCAGCAACAGGAAATGAAGGCACCACGAGCAGAAGCCATTATGCACGGAGCGACACCTGCGCACCACTGAGACAGTTGCACAGCTGAGCGTTCTGCGGAGTGAAGCACATTTATGAAGGCACACACCTTTCTCAGCATTGAAGAATCATCCCTGGCGCGCTGTGCTGGTCCCACCCATGGGGTGCGCTGAGACGGGAAGAGACTGGGTGTGGTGGCACGCCTGTAATCCCAGCGCTTGGGAGGCTAAAATAAAGATCACTACAAATCCGATCTGTGTAGTGAGACCCTGTACTAAATACATTTTTTAAAAAACAGAAGAATTCAGAATATACTTCACTAAGATACATATCCAAGAAAAGTCTAGGTGAATGGTATCTGAAAGGAAATGATAACTATTGTTATCTAGATAGAAGAAAACGATGAAGAAGGGACCAGTAATGACTACCACTCTGACTATAGTTAAATCTAAATAGAAATTTGGGTCAAGTCTGTACTTAGTACAGGGTCTAAGGGTCTCACTACACAGATTGGACTGGTAGTGATTCTCCCATTTTCAGCCTCCCAAGTGCTGGGATTACAGGTGTGTGCCACCATACCCAGTCTCAATCCCCATCTCAGCACTCCCCGGGGGCGGGGCTGGCACGCCATGCCAGGGATCAAGCCCTCCCTGGTCTCGGTGTCTGCCTACGCAGGTGCTTTAATCCGCTGAGCTATCTGGCTGGCCTCTAGACCATGGATTTTCATGAAGTTAGTGAAATGGAAGAAGCAGTAAAGTACGTATTATGAAGGGACGAAAGAGCACACAGTGTGGGGCTCTTTAAAAAGAGAGACAAAAATTCACGTCAGGTTAGAAAGTATAAAGTGATCTCTTTCAGTCAGAACAATGATTTTTAATATGAAGACCACCACTGCCCGAAGCACAGTCCGAGTTCCAATTCAGCAACAGAAAGGAGAACAACCAGTCAACATACAGAAGGGAAAGACCAAGGTAACATACGAGCACACACGCTGTTAAACAAAAGGGATAAAATTGAACTATTATACTAAGAATATGAATTTCTTCTTCAAACATGGAGAGGGCTGGGGATGCAGCTCAGGGGCGAAGCACTTGCCTGGCAAGACAGAGCCCTGAGTTCGATTCTTAGCACCCAAATAAAACAACCACCACAAAAACATGAATCGGGGGCCCGGGGAGACAGCGCAGTAGAATAAGTGCTTGCCTGGCAAGTGCAAGGTTGAGGGAAGGAGAGGGGAAAGGGGGAGAGGGGA